AAGAGGTGACGGCGATGGACAAGGTCCGGCGATTGTCAGTTCTGTGACTAGTGAAACGAGTAACGCCATTTCTTCAGATTCGATGGGAAATACTCCTCCTGATAGCCCTGGGAAGTTCCGATCCCCGATCTTGTTCGCTCCTCAGGTCACTATTTCGTTCAATCTTTCTCCCTTGTGTGTACTGTGTTTGTATCTGTCTCTTCTTTCTGCTTTTCTTACTGTTGTTTTTGTTTGTTCGTGGGATTTGAATTATTCAATGATGTTGTTTTCATGAAAATACGTTTTATTGTTCAGTGGAAGTTGTGTTTCTCGGGAAATTTCTGGGAAAGTTCCAGCCAAGATCCACTTCGTTGACTGCTTGAACTAAGAATGACATCCAATAAGTTTAGTAATATTGAGTGTTCGTTATTATTGTTTTTTCACTTTGGATCATCTGCTTAGTGCTGCGTTCTTTGAAGGTTAATGGCTGAAATGTCTGTTACTGGATTTGCCTACTCTGATCGACTATAGTTTTATATGAACAGCTGAGATTTCTCTCTTAATCTTGGTCCCCTTCAAACTATTGATCAATTTAATAGGGTTGGTTGGTTGTTTGTTGTAATCAATTCATGGAGCAGATTGTTACTTCTTTAATGGTTAACTCATTGATAATACATTCATCGATTTCATAAGTGATGAGTTGTGATTAAACTTCTAGTTCCCGATTAGATTGAAATAGTTCGTAAGTTCGACTTCCTCGCTTTTGAGTCGATTCACATGTGAATTTGTGATTAACCTTGGTTCTGGGTTTTGAAATGATGGTGGGCATGTATTACAAGGCTTGCAGGTTCCTGTGGCTCCCTTAGGAGGTAATGGACCAACTCATTTCAATGAAACCTGGAAGAATGAACTCCATGAAGCTGTAGATAATCCTCCAGTGCAAGGAATTCCAACAATCATTACATGGAGCTACGGTGGCAGCAGCGTTGCTGTTGAGGGATCTTGGGACAACTGGGCGTCCAGGTTTATGATTTTTTCGAGCCTCATGCTTCATGACAGCAGTTCTACTGCATTTTGCATAAACAATGACATATAATGTAACATTGCTTTTGTAGGAAGACCCTACAGAGGTCTGGTAAAGATTTTTCAATACTTATGGTCCTTCCATCTGGAGTATATCATTACAAGTTCACCGTCGATGGTCAACGGAGATATATTCCGGATCTTCCTTTCATAGCTGATGAGATGGGCAATGTCTTTAATCTTCTTAATGTTTCTGTAAGTGTGATTCTTCCCTCCATCTGCATTACCATCCAATCGACATGAACTTGATGTTGACTCGTTATTTGTGTTGAAAAATTATGCGTTTATGGTCGTGTGAAAATGGAAATTACCACGTAGGTGCCAAAATACTTGCTTGATTCCATGTTAGGAGGATAAATATCTGAAGCGAGGCGATAGTTTAGCTCTGCTTCTCATGTTTATAATTTCAACCTTAAGAATGTGTGATAAATGCTAATGGTTGATTGTTTAAGCCCATTATTGGTCTTTTCACTCATATTCTGAGATCCCACATAGGTTGGGGAGGAGAATGAAGCATTCTTTATAAGGATGTGAAAACCTCTCCCTAGCAGACGCATTTTAAAAACCTTGAGTTGAAGCATGAAAGGAAAAGCTCAAAGAGGACAATATCTGCTAGTGGTAGGCTTGGGCTGTTATACATATGTTCAATATACATGTTTAGTGATATTATCGTCTTAAACTGGAAATGGACTAAAGAAAAGAATGAGGATAGCTCTCCACTCCCCAGGGCTGTAAAGTTATGTAGAAACCCTAGGCCTTATAAGTTCTAAAAGAAAAGAAGAAAAAAAGTGTGGCAGTGTTCTCACTAAGAGAGAAAGAAGAGAGAGTAAAGGAGTGAAGCAGCGCATGTGCTTACAAACCTGTTGGCTGGTCAGAATGATGCCAAAATCTTTTGGAACAAAGCCCTTTTTTCCTTTTTTGAACACTTCTCCTGAACACCAACGTGATTATCACAAGTTCTTTCTTTTCTTTTTTATTTTTAAGAAACGTGATTAGCACAGGTAATTGAGAGTTCTGTCTTGATCCTCTATCTATTAGCTGTAGACGTACCAAATACGATTCAGAAAGTATTTTCGTTATCATATCATGATTCATGTATGTGTTACTCTCCAAAGAACTACTCTTGCACCTGTTGATTGTTTTGGGGCACTTAATTTTATCATTTTTGGAGGAGAAGTACAAGTTTTAGCTTTATCGGGGAATTTTCCATCTCAGTAGGAGCTTTCCGGAACCCGGTTCGATAACGTTCTCTCATAGATTCACATTTTGATTAGAAAATTATAAGAAAAAGCAGAAAAGGTGCCTATACGATAGATTATTCTGGCTCTCTTTTCCTTTCTTCTAAATTTGTGCAACGAGACACATTCATACTGTTTGCACAGAAGACATTTCATGGTTCTTCTTGCTTGTCATGAGTGTTTACATTTTTCCAGTGGATTGTTCTATCGAAGTTCATTCAAAAGATACAGGAAGAGGAGAGAAATAATATGGACTAAAGTAGTTGTTCATGTGCCCAACCTAAATGAGCATTTGAGCTCTTAAAGGGGGGGAAATATATGTATACATTTACTCGCACATATGGTGTGAGATCCCACATCGGTTGGGGAGGAGAACGAAACATCCTTTATAAGAGTGTGAAAACCTCTCCCTAGCAGACGCATTGTAAAAACCTTGAGGGGAAGCCCGAAAGGGAAAATCCAAAGAGGCAGTATTTGCTAGCGGTGGGCTTGGGCCGTTACAAATGGTATCAGAGCTAGACTCTAGGCGATGTGCTAGCAAGGAGGCTAAGCTCCGAAGGGGGTAGACACGAGGCGGTGTGCCAGCAAGGATGCTGGGCCCAAAATGGAGTGGATTGGGGTACTACATCGATTGGAGAAGGGAATGAATGTCAGCAAGGAAGTTGGGCCCCAAAGGGGGGTGGATTGTGAGATCCCACATTGGTTGGGTAGGAGAACGAAATATCCTTTATAAGGGTGTGGAAACTTCTTCCTAGTATACGCGTTTTAAAAACCTTGAGGGGAAGCCCGAAAAGGAAAGCCTAAAGAGAACAATATCTGCTAGCGGTGGGTTTAGACCGTTACATACGCACACTTGCGCACGATAGGATAGGAGGTTGTAGCCTTCTCACATCTCTGGCATGTATTTATTATCTGAGCTCATATTCTACTGCGCCTGATAGTTTGCTGTATAAAATCCTGAATGCACATTGAGAAGTGTCCAAGATTTGTCAACATTGTTTAGAGAAAGATGCATTACTTCTTTAGTTAGTGCAATGCAAAAGACAAACTGATTTTATGCATTTCATCTTCACTCTTCATTTTGGAGTTGTTTCCATTCTGTAGGATAGTGTGCCTGATATTCTACAGAGCGTGGTCGAGTTCGAGGCTCCCCAATCACCAGAGACGACATACAGCCAGGCATTCCCCGGCGAGGAAGACTTCGCCAAGGAGCCAGCAGCCGTCCCATCACAGCTGCACCTCACAGTTCTAGGTATGGAGAACGCCGACGAAGCTTCGTCCTCAAAACCTCAACATGTTGTGCTTAACCACCTCTTCATAGAGAAAGGATGGGCTTCTCAGTCTGTGGTTGCCTTGGGACTTACTCATAGGTTCCATTCAAAGTATGTCACTGTCGTCCTCTTCAAACCTCTCAACAGGTAGTTATCGTCCATTTTTCGCTCTGGCTGAACTTTGTAAAGGATCACGAGCTACTTCTCGCTCCATCATCCATGGAGGGAATCTTGCTTTATAGAACTGTGTTGGCCTAAGTTTGCTTACAACAAAAAACTCTTATTCTGATCAATATTTCTTCAATTTGTGAAGAAATCTTTGTTTTTATAGAACTTGTAGGCCAAAAAAGTTTCATTACCTTTTTCAAAATGTATCAAAAGTAGTAGATTTTGATAGCATATTTGTCTGCCTCAGTTTTAGCATTCTATTCCTCAGTGTGCTACGTTTGACAAATTAATTTGGTGCCTGATTTTAGATGGATTGTTAAATAATTTTGGTTTAATTATATAAAGTACTTCTTAAACTTCAATTATGTTTTATTTTAACATTTTTTAGTTGTTTTTTTCTAATAAAGTTAGCTAGAAATCGATGGAGTTTTGGTGTATAAAAACGCCATCATTTGCAATCACATTTTACTTGATAGTCTATATACACGAATTGTTCTTGCCATTCAATAATTTTTTTTTATACTTTTTAGTTTGATGGTGTAAATAAAATTTTTATAGTGAAATTTGAGTGTAGAAAACAGATATTGTCCTATTTAGGCCTCAAGAAAGTTTTAAAACGCATCTACTAGAGAAGGTTTCTACACTATTTGTTTTAAAACGTATCTACTAAAGGAAGGTTGGGAAGGTTTCTACACCCTTATGAAGGGTGCTCCCCAATCAATGTGAGACATCACAGAATAATAAGAGTGAAATTTTGTATGTAAAGATGAAATTTAGAGATCTACAAAGGAGCACCAAAAGCGAACATAGAGGTGAAATCTAGAGATCTACGAAGGAATACCAAACAAAGGGAGAAAACAGGAGGTGTAATCTAGAGATCTACGAAGGAATACCAACAACAAAGGTAACTCTTAGGATGCTTATCGTCCCTAGAGTGCAAAAGCATAGGTAGCGAATATAATTTACTTAAACCATGGATGTTCACCTTAAATCTACATGGATTAGGAACCCGAATAAAAAAAACGAGTTAACTCAGTGAAAAACTCCACTTGGAGAGTACAATTCTATTCTTGGCGGAATGTTAAACACTCACAATATATATTTTGTTTTTAGACTTCTTAGTTAGATTTGCAAATGAAAATTTTAATTTGGAACAAAATCAACTCAATTGCAAAATTATAATAACATGAGGAGAAGTCAGGTGAGGAAAGAAATTCCCAGCCAGTAAATATTGAAGTATTAACAACATTCATGACTCATGTTGATGAGCAAAAAGAAATGGATTCATTGAAATGTACTTGAACTGATATTCCCAAACACAAAAAGAAGATAGCAAATATTAATAGAAGACTCCACCACTATCTAATCTACTGAAAAAGGAAAAAGAAAAAGGAAACAGCAAACAATACCGGCATACAGTACCATAAATTATGCAAACAGAGAGAGTAAGATAACAGAAGAACCAAAGTAAAGCTAGTAACACGAAGAAGAAGAAGGGTCCTACATAGAAAGTGTTCCAGTTGGGTATATAGGTGCCATGGAACACAGTTGTGCTAACCTCTCTCTCGGTTCTTAGCCTCTATAGGTTCTCTTCTTTCACGTTTGATCCATTTGTCACTTGGCCATCATGATTTTAACGAATTCCTCGTAGTTAATCTGGCCATCACCATCCACGTCAGCCTCACGAATCATCTCATCGACCTCTTCGTCGGTCAATTTCTCACCAAGATTTGTCATCACGTGGCGGAGTTCAGCTGCAGAAATGAAACCATTCTGGTCCTTGTCAAACACACGGAAGGCTTCCTTCAGTTCCTCCTCAGAATCGGTGTCTTTCATCTTCCGAGCCATCAAATTCAGGAACTCAGGGAAGTCAATGGTTCCGTTTCCGTCAGCATCCACCTCATTGATCATGTCCTGCAGCTCAGCTTCGGTTGGATTTTGGCCAAGTGACCTCATCACAGTCCCAAGCTCCTTGGTGGTGATACAGCCTGCATCCAAAGTCAAATTATCATAAATCGTGGAGACAGATCAAAATGACCTAAAGAGAAGCCAAGAGAAGAGGCTAAAGATTCCAGATGGTTTATTAATTTATAGAAAAGAAATTGGTTTTCAAGAGATTGGCAAGCATGAAACATACGAAAACAGTCGAAGTTCAAAAAAAAGGGAAAAGCCATATACCAGGAAGAAAACATGATACTCAAAGATCAGTAAAATCATTATGACGAACTTGTACAATTTAGAACTCAAACAGAGATAATACACGAAATAGATCTTCGCCAGAAATTCCTAAGGTTATTATAGAAGCAAACGAAACCATAAAGTATAATTTCCATTTCCATTTTTCAGCAAATAGTTGGACTCAGTCTAAGAGTAAACCATACGCATTTCTCTCCTACCAAGTGCAGGTATAAATGTGCACTCCAACCTTGACTATCCATATAGATTGCGACAGTTTCACCAGCAACACATTTGGCAAAATCATAACCGTCAACAAATCAACTAGTCAGAGTTGACAAGGAAAATTCCAGTCCAAGCTGTAAAACCTCTATGAAACAAAAGAAAATGAGCAACAGCACTTTTTCTCATTCCAGAAATCCAATTAGCACAGCACACAACATATCTTAATTGCCTAGAAAAAACTTGCGCATGCACAAAACATCATCGACCACGAACCAAACCGAATCATTTCACAGACATATCTCTCAAACACTTCATTACAAGATCGCCTTCCAAACCGAACTCCATGACCAAAAAACAACACAAAACAAATAAAGTCAACAGCGCAAAAGAGAACACAGCTCAAACACGCAACAGTCAGATCACAGCAGATCCAATCCACAACGCTAAATCCTCAAACAAAACTCACAAAAACATCCAAACTAGCGGCTAAAAAAAAATCCATCGCACTACCAAAACAACCTCGAATTCAACCTAAACCCTAAATCAAACACAAAACACCACAAAAACAACAAAACAGACAATCAGATCTGAAAAATAAAGCTGAAAAACGCATCAAATGAAGGATAATTAACAAAAACAGCAGAGAGAGAAAAGAGATCTGAGAAACGAGACCATCGCCGTCCTTGTCGAAGAGGCTGAAGGCCTCCTTGAACTCGGAGATCTGATCATCGGTGAGCTGCTCAGCCATAGTCGTCGACGGAGGAGGAAGAAAATATCAACGAGAATCCAAATCCACAGAGGTTTTGTAGAAAGAGGCAAAAAAGTCGATCTGGAGAGTCTTTCTCCAAAATGGCGTAGAAAAAACCGGAAATGTTGTGAAATTGGGCCACACGTGTCATATTCGCACGCCGCCGAGGGACTAAACGCGCCAATTGGCTCTACACACGTGCGCAGTTTCTGACTGGATAAGAATGTTATAAATTAAATACAAATATAGTTCGATTTTATATTAATGATTTTATTTTCTTTTTGTTAAAATAAATATAAATATAACTTCGCCTAAATTAATTTATTTATTATATATAAATTTGAATTTTATATTTATATAACTCTAAATTTTTCACTGGATAATTTGGTAAATTTTGATCATATTTAGACTTTAACATATATTTAAATTTAAAAATAAGAAAAAATTAAAACAATAATTTATAAATGATTTAATTTTTAGTCTAAATTTATATCAATTCACGAGTATTATATTAGATAAATTAAGATTATATTAATTCACGAACTAATAATTTTTTATTTTTTAAAGAAATTTATGCAAAATGAAATGAAAAATAAATATGGTATAAAATATGGACTAATTAAAACTTTATATTATTTTTTAAAATTAAAAAAAAATGAAACTCTATTATAACTTATTTAATGTATGAAATCTAATATCAACCTTTTATAGATATTTGCTATTTTGTAGACATTTATGAGGTGGAAATGGGTAAGGGTATTTTTGTCTTTTCAAATTCTAGGTACCAGAATAATTAATTCTTTTTGACATTTTATATACCTAAGAATAAAGTTGGATTCTATATGTTTTTTTTTCATGGAGGGGTATTCTAGTCCAGAATAATTCTTTTTAATTTATTATTCCTTTTATAAATATTATCTTATATAAAGTAAATTCACTTATATTCTCTTGGAAGGACTAGTTTTTTTTTTATTCTACTATCCTTTTTCTTCTTTTATTTGTTTTCACATGTTTCAATCGTGCGCGATGCTCCCCACCTCTCTTGAACCCTTGTCCGTCTCCGTTACGTTGGTCCTTGGCGTCTTTGAACCCTTGTCCGTCTCTGTTACGTTGGTCCTTGTGGTCTCTCTCACGTTCGTCTCCCTCACATTGGTCCTTGTTGTGTCTCTCATGTTTCATGGTTGTGTGTAGCTTTAATTACTTTTATGTCATCGTAGGTACAGTTGCCTCTCGGTCTTTCTTGATTTCGCTCCCTCTATCAGGCTCTCACTTTTGGGTTCCCCCCACCTATGAGTTTTGGCCATTGTTGCACCCCGTCGCTCCTCCCTACGTTTGATCAGCCCATCAATGTGTTAAAATATCATTACTAGCCCAATAGGGTTAAGCCCAACCCTTTAATGAGTAATTATATATTTATGATTTAAGATTTTAGAAATAAATTTAGGAAAATGATTTTGGGATTGAATAAATTTAGGAAAATGATTTAAGTATTTTAGGAAACAAATCTTAGGAATAGAAGATTTAGTATAAATACCTTCCACCCTATTTAGTTCATCATCCCAATAAATCACAAGCAATACAAAGTAGTAGTTTCTACATATGTTTTGTAAATCTCTTCTCGATTGATCTTAATAAAGTGTGTGAGTGTTTTCAGTTGTGTTCAACAATCTGGTATCAGAGTCATGTCCTAAACTTTAATCATGTCAAAGAATCCTCAAATGTCGAACAAAGAACTTCAAAAGAAAAGGAGTCGAGCCTCGATTAAGTGGAGGCATACTTTGTTCGAGGGGAGGTGTTGGATGAAAGTCTCACGTTGGTTAATTTAGAGAATGATCATGAGTTTATAATCAAGAAATACTCTCTTCATTGGTATGAAGCATTTTGGGGAAGCCCAAAGCAAAGCCATGAGAGCTTATGCTCAAAGTGAACAATATCATACCATTATGGAGAGTCGTGTTCGTTTAACATGGTATCATAGCGAGATTAGTGTAGGTTATCTGATCTCTTGGAATTCTTAGTATGCTCTGTGGTTGCAGCTCTGTCTGATCTTCCACATCAGAAACGATTTCTTGAGATTAGTAGTGAGTGAGTTTCTTTTATGTCATGAGTAGTCTGTGACTCTGCAAGTCTTGTGTCGAAAGAGCTTGTTTGGTATTACTGAGGTATAGTCAATACGATGGGTGATTTTCAAATCATTGGAGGAATCAAGAAACTCAACAACCACAACTACAACATGTAGGCAACATGCATGATGTCCTATTTACAAGGACATGATCTTTGGGAGATCGTTGGCTGGTGCGAAACTACGCCGCCAAAGGATGATTCTAATGGCGCCTTGCGCAAATGGAGAATCAAAGCAGGCAACGCAATGTTTGTCTTGAAGACCACAATCGGAGAAGAGATGTTTGAGCATATTTGGGATGACAAGACACCGAAAGAAGCATGGGACACGTTCGTGATATTGTTCTCAAAGAAGAATGATACGAGGCTACAACTTCTGAAGAATGAGTTGTTGTAATTTCACAACGTGACATGATGATTGCTCAGTACTTCCACAAAGTCAAGTCGAACTGTCGGGAGATTACTGAACTAGATCCGAAGTCCACCATTGTAGAATCTCGAATGAAGAGGATTATAATTCACAGATTGCGACTAAAATATAGAAGCTTTATTATTGTTGTACAAGGATGGCCCACTCAACCATCACTTGTAGAGATCGAAAATTTGTTAGTCAGCCAAGAAGTCAAGGCTAAACAAATAGGAGGCATCACATTGAAAGGTGAGGAAGAAGCACTCTACACAAGTGAAAGTCGAAGTAATAATAGGTTGTCTACCAAACGTGGATACAATGGTGACAAAAGAAGAAGTCACCAAGGAACTGCACAACTAGGGAGAACTTGGGAAAACGATAACAATAACCCTCAAGAGAAGAGATTTGAAGGCATTTGTTACAATTGCGGGAAAAGGGGCAACATATCCAGGGATTGTGGGTCTATGAAAAATTATGTTGAAAGCAATGTGACAACATCCAAAAAGGAGATGGAGGAGGAATGGAATGTAGAGGTACTCTATGTCATAGAAGAAGATGAGCTAGCACTCATGGCGATGATGGGAGACCATATCGATTATGAGAATGATTGGATCATTGATTCAAGATACTCAAACCACATGAATGACGATCAAAGTGGTGCAATGGAAGAGGGGTGACCCTCAGAGAAGGAAGTATTACCAAACCTTGAGCAAATTGAAGAAATTCTTTTGACGGGAGAGAAAATTGAAGAAATTCCACAGAAGACAGGGAGCAAACTGTACACATTTTCTTAAGTGTTGATGTGCCTGAAGATTCAAGTGACACTAGTGTTGGTGAGCAAGAAGTGACTCAACCAAGCAAACCTAGTGAAAATGAAATGACACCTCAACAACTCAGACCTTCAGAAATAATCCTAAAGCCAAATCCAGAGTATGTCAACGCAGTAGAAGACGAAGTTAATGAGCCGGAGACATATGAAGAATCATCACAAAACTCAGCTGGGCAAAAAGTGAGAGAGGAAGAAATTATAGCCCTGGAACAAAATCAAACTTGAGAATTAGTGTCAAGGCCAAGAGATACCAAACTCATCTCTTGCAAGTGGGCTTACGAAATAAAGTGTACCCGAGATGGATCAATCGTGAGATACAAAACTCAGATTGTAGATCCAGGGGTTTCTCAACAATATGGACTAGACTATGATGAAATGTTTAGTCCAGTGGCAAAAATTATTATCGTACAAGTTCCTCGAGTACTTGGGTAAATAAAGATTGGAAATTATGGAAGATGGATATAAATAATGCTTTTTGCATGAAAAGTTGGACCAAGAGATCTACATGAACCAACCAAATTGATTTGAGAATGAAGTTGGAGTCATTAGTCAGTACATGCGAAGTTTGAAGAAGCTTTCTTTAGATGCTGCTCGACGGACCTTGAGATATGTCAAACAATATCACGATACTCGAAGGTCAAGTATCGAGTATGTGTTCAAGCTCAGTTCGAAAACAATCTTTTGGTGTAGGAAAAGACAACCAACAATATCATTGTCTATTAGAGAATCAGAGTACAAAGCAGCGAATGGAGCAGCTCAGGAAAGTACATTGCTGAAACTCTTGATGGAAGATTGACACCAGAAAATTGACTATCCAATACCAATTCATTGCGACAACCAATCTGCGATTCGCCTAGTAGAAAATTCGATGTTTCATGCTAGAACAAAGCATGTGGAGGTACACTACCATTTCACTAGAGAGAAAGTCTTGAAGGAAGAAATCGAGATGCAGTAGATCAAGACAGATGATCAAGTGGCAGACTTGTTTACAAAAGGGTTGAATACTAGCAAACATGAGAGTTTTCGCTGTCAGCTCAATATGGTGCAACTAATGAGAACTAGTGCTCATGGTAAGTGTTAAAATATCATCACTAGCCCAATAGGGTTTTGGGCTAAGCTCAGTAGGGTTAAGCCGAGTAATTATATTTATAATTTTGGGATTTTAGGAATAAATTTAGAAAAATAATTTAGATATTTTAGTAAAAACGTTAGAAATTTTAGGAATAGATTGAGTAACTTTAGTATAAATAATACCCTCCACCCTATTTAGTTCATCCTTCCTTTTTAGTATTAGATTGACTGCCCTCTAGTATAAATACCCTCCACCCTATTTAGTTCACCATCCCAAGGAGCCCACCTCTCTTGAACCCTTGTCCATCTCCCTCACGTTGATCCTTGTTGTCTCTCTCACGTTCGTCTCCCTCACGTTGGTCCTTGTTGTCTCTCTCACGTTCGTCTCCCTCACGTTGGTCCTTGTTGTCTCTCTCACGTTCGTCTCCCTGTTTGCTATTAACTGCACTATCTTTTTCTCTACCCATGATTGTGTGTAGCTTTAATTACTTTTATGTCATCATAGGTACGGTTGTCTCTCAGTCTTTCTTGATTTCGCTCTCTCCCTATCCGGCTCTCACTTTTGGGTTCCCCTCACCTATGAGTTTTGGCCATTGTAGCACCCCCGTGCTCCTCCCTTCGTTTGATCAGCCCATCACTACACCAGTATCCGCACTTGATCACCACGCACACTAGACATGTCAAGACTTATTTGTTGCACACATAATTTGCT